TCCTATGATAATTGTTGAAACTGCAATTGTTGCCACGATTATTGCCACGATTGTGACCACAATTGTTGCCTCAACAATTCTTAGAAGAATTATAGTTGGAGTATGGAGCAGCAAATGCTTGAGGAAAGGCATTAAATTGAGGCATTGGAAGAATCGAAGCTTGAGAACGTTGAGATTGAGGAACATATGCATGAAAAGGTTCTGTAACAGAAGAAACAACAGATTTCTTCTTCCGACTCATAAAGAGATCTTTGTTGATCAATAAACATGAAGTTCATTAAGAGTTGCGGAGGAAATTCGCAGCATTATAGAGTCAATGAAGAACTCGTACTCATCAGAGAGGCCATTGAGCGTAACAGTAATAAGATCATGATCAGAAACTAGCGCGCTGATAGCCATTAAAGCATCCAAAATACTTTTGATTTGTTGAATGTATTCAGAGATTGAAAGATCACATTTCTTAACTGAGTCAAGGCTAGTGTGAAGTTGGTGAATGTGCGCAACAGAGACTCCATTGAAGCGTTGTTCAAGATTGATCCACAATTCGTGAGATGAAGATACACCAATGGTAAAAGCTATGATTTCTTCAGATAAAGTGGAATTTAACCAAATGAGGATGCTTTGATCCTTCTCATACCAAGCTTCAAAGGCAGGATTCGGAGCATCGGTGATGTGGCCAGAATTGTCAAGAAGAAATGGCAGGTGGACACACTTCAGTGTCGTCAAGAATTCCAGTGAGTTTGTAACGGCAAAAAATTGGAGTAAAGAACACCTTCGATACAAGATAATTGTCTCGTTTAAGCTTCGTGGAACCATACAATTAATGTTTTGGATTGTGCCGAAGAAATAGATGAAATTGGGGAATTAGGGTTAGGGTTCATCAAAGATGAATTTAGGGCAAGAATGTCATGATTCGTCAGAGAAGAAGCCGAAGATACCATCAGATAGACAGAGAGAAATAGAGATTAAAGATTAAAAAAAAAAGGAAAAGGAGAATCGATCAAGAACTGAAGAAAATTGCCAATGAAATCGCGGAGAGAATTAATCGAGTGACGAAGATCGATGAGAATCGCGAAAAGGTGGAGAGGATCACGAAGAGGCGGTTAAGCAAAGGCAGTTGATACCATATGAGATTTATGAAAGATTCTGTTTCATTGAATTAATGAGTCTTTACAACTGTGTATATATATACACCTGCTAATCATAATTAGCACCTAATCAAGTATAACTAATTATACTAAGACAACAATTAGTTACACTAAGCAAACAGAAAACTGTTATGATGTTCTGGATTGTGTGTTAATACTTTATATATTCCGTACTTTCAAGACACATCTCGGAATTTAACAAACGAAGAATGAGGGAAATAAAGTGAGGAAACTCTATTTCTCAAGAGTAAGAATTAATTCTATTTTCTACTCCTTAATGATAATGGTTTCATGGTTTTAAATAGAACCCACATACTTCTTATTAAAAGATGTAATTTTTCATCTTTAAGTATACTTCATTTGGCAGCCCCTTAGTATTACGGTCAAGTGGTATTCCTTTTCACTTGTAAGTGAGAAAGTCTTAGGTTCGATTCTCGTCAAAAACGAATTTGAATCACATTATTGCTAGCATATTATATGGCTAAGCCCATCTCTCTTTAGTGTCGATAATATCGTTTATTAAAAAATATTAAGTAAAGTCATTTAGTACTACGGTTTAGTGGTATTCCTTTTCACTTGCAAGTGAGAGGTTTTAAGTTCGATTCTCGCTAAAGACGAATTTGAACCACAATATTGCTAGCTCATTGTGAAGTTAAGTCCAACCCCTCCACTTAATATAGATAATATTGTTTGTTAAAAAAACAATGTACATCCTTTTTTTTTTTTTTTTTTGGGAAACTAACAATATACATCCTTTGACTAACAGTAAATATACAACGGTCCCTTTCCATTTGGAAAAAGATACATACACTGTTGAATCCAACCAACGGTTACAACCATTTTTCATTCAAATATTAGTTACATATTATAATAATTAATATTATAATATATAATATTTCAACAACTATAACTTCCATCACGGGGTGTGTAATACTAATATATATCTTTGTCAATGTAAACAACTCTGACGAGGTCCCGGTTGGCTGAATTTGGATCATGGTGGAGGACGTAAACACCATAAAGTCCCGAGCTTTATGCTCGGATTTCGATCAATCGAATTGCTCGAGTTTGATTCCTACAACATTACTGCAATATAAGTTTAATAGATATGATTGACTATTTTATAGAAATCAAACTCACTAAAATGTGGAATTTGCACCAACAAAGCATTGAATTATTTATCCTCAATGCACTCCATTACAATTCAATACTAATTCATAATGTCTAGTCATGGTTTGGTTTGGTTTAATTACAAAAAACTAAACCGGACCAATTCAAATATAATTATACTTTTACTTTCATATGTCATCTCAGGTTTAAATCCAATTGAGCCCACCCTTAATAAGTTTGTAACAAAGTGAAGTTCAATTAATTTTGGAAAGTGTTATTGGCACTCCAAAAATCTCATTCTACACTCCTCACTAGTGTATTTTTCTTTCCTATTATAGAAAGTTTGGAGTGTAGAATGAGATTTTTGAAGTGCTAATAATAATTCCCTTAATTTTTTGTTATCTGAAGAACTGGTGGGTTTGCTAATTAGAGCAGCTTGCAGTTGGTGCAAGGCAAAGGCAAGGCCCAAAACTTGCCCTCCAACCTAGAATCCATCTATGGTCCAAAATTGCAAGGGCAAGTGGTGGGCAAGCAAAGCCCGTCCAAATGCTCGAGCATCTAAACTCCTGCCTTGCCCCAACAGGCATGTTGATGTCAGTATGACATCATGCTGACGCAACCCTTTTTTTAATTTTTACTATCAGGGTGTGTTTAACACATGTGTGAAAAACGGTGAGTGGTACAAGCTCTACACGGGTGGGCTTCGCTGCATTAGATAAATAGCGGAGTCGAACGTCTCCATGATGTGGCTTGCTGTGAACCTTTGGATTTTCAATGATTAGATGATTTGAAATTGGAAAATACCAAAACAAATATTTCTTTTTTAGGTAGTTTTATTAACACCCCACAATTTTATGAAGACACCTGCATTTTTTTTTCCAATTGATCTTCCTCTTTTACCCTTATTGGTTGGGAAAAAAAAAAAGAAAATGGCACCAACCAATCCCCCTTTGCCGGCAGTCAACCACCATAGCACCACCCTTGAAATGATCTCAATATTTACAGTTGATATGTCAAATTAACTAATGCCATCCATTTATTGTGTTGAACTCTGTTTGTTGACTTGGGTTTTGGAATGTAAACAAGTTAATTGATTTGGAAGAATATTGTGGATTGGAGGCATTTGATTGTTGATGTTCGGTGATAGAAAATTTTATTGCTTGAAGTTTGACAAAGACTTTAAATTGGTTGCTTGAGTTTTGCTTAAAGTTTTGGCTTTTGTATGAAATTGGGAACTTTGTAAAAAATTGAAGACGGGAGAAAGGCTAGAGAGGAGGTGACCGAAGTGGATTGACGACTCCGACGATGGAGGTAATCAGAGGTTGTTGTCCAGTTGGGGTGTTCGGCGCTCTTTCTTTCGTCGTTAGGACCGAGGTGGGGAGGGTATAGAAAAATCAGGGGTAAAATTGGAATTTTGTAGGAATTTTTTTTGAATGTGGGTGGTTTCGTAAATTTGTGGGGTGTAAATAAAACTGCTCTTCCTTTTTTCAGACACAAAATAAAAGGTTTATTACAAATGGTCCTTAAAATTGACCCTCATTATTAAGATGGTCCTTGCTGAAATTGACTTGCGATATCAAAATGGTCATTGAAATTGACCCGCAACATCAAAATAATCTCTGAAATTGAAAATTGATTAATGTAGTCCTGCAAGTAAGTGTCTCAAATCAATTTAGTCATTCCGTTATAATTCTGTCAAAAATTATGTAATGTGCTGATGTAACACATAAATGGATCACACAAGTCTAATTAAATTTTAAAAAAATTACAAACAGGCTTAATAATTTAATAGTTAATAAAAAAATTATCAACAAAAAAACCCAATTCTGCAATCACCTTAGATCCCAATCTATATTTCTCCACCTCCTTCGCTCTCTATTCTTTAAAAAAAAAATTCAATACACACTTCGACACCTTTCACCGAATTGAACCTGGATTTGAGATCACTTTTGGTGACGGCTTTGCCCATTGTTAACGACTTCTAGGACATCACCGTTAACTAGGCGATCAACATCCTCACAACCTTAATCTTGGAAAGCTTGTTTGACACTTTTCTGGTGGTCTAGTGATGCAAAGAACGGCGATGTCTGCCTTGAGATAATGAGGTTATAACCGAGATGTGTCTATTGTTGGTTAAAAACTATTCCTACACTCCCTCGTAGGTGTTGGTTATGCTTTGTGCCTTTGAGAATTTATGGATGAGATTTCTCTTCGGAGTAGGCCCTACTATAAGAAAAAAAAATTCATTGTGCAAAAAGGCATTTAGATAACTTTTTTAATTAATTATTAAACTCACATCAGCACATAACACATTGTTTTACAAAATTGTAACGGAATGATCATATTGATTTACGACACCTATTTTTTCAAGGACTACATTAATTGATTTTCAATTTCAGGTATCATATTGATGGTGTTGGTCAATTTTAGGGACTAATTAATGGTGTGGGTTAATTTCTGGGACCATTTGTGATAAAAACCTGTATATCTTGTGGGACCTATTTATGTGCCACATCAATATTTAACAAAATTGTGACTGAATGACCACATTGATCTGCGACACCTATTTTTAGAGACTATATTGATTGATTTTTAATTTCAAAGACTATCTTTATAGTGAGACTCGATTTCAATGACTATTTTTAATAAAAATTCAAAATAAAATAATAAGTTTCTCAAAAAAAAAAAAAAAAAAGAAAGAAAAAAGAATTGGGAAAGAAAGAAAAAAACAATAACGAATGTCTCCAAATCACAACGTGTTGAATTAGTCTCCCGACCATTTGAATCCCATCCTCAAATTTCAATCAAAATTCGTCAACTTTCCGTCGGATCCCAAATGGGGAAATGGAATTCCGACTCCCCAAAATCTTGATTTCAAATTCTTAGGGATTCCTGATTTTTCATGGTTTGATTCATCTGTGGAAAAAGGTCGATCAGGAGAAGCGGCAATGGCGTGGAACGCGTTCAAGTTATGTACAGCTCTGCGCGCCCTCGGCTACGTGATGGTGCTGGTGGTTGTCGCCATAGTCGGGCTCACCTACTACGCCGTCGTTTTGGTCAATTATTTACCTAGCATCCTTAGCGGAGGCGTCAATTTCGTCATTGCCTTCCCTCTCTTGATCTTGTTCCATTTTCTGGTAATTCCCGTTCCCCCCTAAATTTTTATTTATTTTAATCAATTTTCATTCTTAATTTAATTTAATTTACCTAGAAATTATGAATATGCATAACTTCATATATGAATGCGTGATATGTACGAATTTGTGAGAGTTTTGTATATTAAGCTAGAAGGTTTTGCTTTATGTTTGGATTATTTGATAAAAAAACAGGACGACCCCAAGCCAACAGAGCTCCTCGCTTTGCAAGGGTTGGGAGAACGTCTATCGTAAGCAGTCTTGTCCTTGCTTTGAAAAAAAGTTGTTTCCACGAGGAACGACCTTTCTGTTGCGCCAAGCTTTCTATTGGACTATTTGATAAGGGGAAAAAATGGAGCAATGAAAACATAGTAAAATGCTTTGAAATTTGCTATTTATGTGTTGGAATCAAAGAGAAGCAATTGGGTAGTAAAGCTAGTGACTTGAGTTTTCTACTTTACAAGCTGGGAAAGTGACATATTTTGTGTTTGACGTTTCTCAGAGATTTTCTTAACTACTTCAGACTAAGGGAAACGTTATTGGTAGAGGATTGTACATTGCTCTGGTCATAGTAAAATGTTTACTTTAGAAATAAAGCTTTCAGTTGGGAAATGTTATTGTTCAACTGTTGTACAGCTTATGGTCTTACCAATACCATGCATCGTACATGTGCGGATTGAAGATTGCCTTCGTGCATATAGTGTTCTCATCCATATGAGTGTAGTAAATTTCTTTGGCCGCAACAATTTAAATGTGACACATTTTAATTGGAAGTTGGAAAAGGGAATTTTAATTCGAGGTTTTAAAGATTTAGTTCCTTTTTTGGTTTTTTGAATTTTCCTATTTTGAATGCTTAAATTGAGAATGGTGATAAATTCAACTTTGCAAATTGGAAAGTATTAAGTTTGGGAAGGTTAATTTGGTTATGTAGTTGGTGATGCTGTTGTGGAGCTACTTTAATGTTGTTCTGACGGATCCTGGGCGCGTTCCACCAAATTGGAGGCCTGCAATCGATGAGGAGACAGGTGATGAAGCCCCATTGGTGGGATCAGACCAATCCACCATGGTCAGTGATCCAGCAAATCAAAAAATACGGTTTTGTCGGAAGTGCAACCACTATAAACCACCTCGTTGCCATCATTGTTCTGTTTGTGAGTACTTTTATTCCAGTTGCCTCTTTTGAAAATGTATATCTAGTGTTGGACAAAGAATGAAAGGTTCATTCTTTCCATTTATGTGTTTGTTTTAGGTGGGAGGTGTATATTGAAAATGGACCATCATTGCGTTTGGGTGGTCAACTGTGTTGGTGCACTGAATTACAAGTACTTCCTTCTCTTCTTGGTATGTTACTGCACTATGTTTGTTTAAATCTCTTGAGAGGCACAATTTACTTACTGACAAGATAAGCAGTAACTACTTGAATTAAATGAGAAATTATTTGATGTATGACTTGTATTGTATCTTTATTACTTTATTGCAGTTTTACACATTTCTTGAGACAACTCTTGTCACCTTATCATTATTCAAGTATTTTATGGCATTTTTTACTGAAGAGGAGATACCGGGAACATTGGGCACTGTTGCAGCTAGTTTTATCACATTTGGTAAGTTTTTAGATGATCAATTTTCTGAATTATTTTCCAATTTGACATCATCCGTAGTTTCTCATATTTGGGATTGCCATTTTCAGTTTTGAACTTCGCATTTGCTTTGAGTGTTTTTGGCTTCATGATCATGCACCTATCATTGGTGGCGTCCAATACCACCACTATTGAGGTGATGGCTTTTATTATACTGAATGTGATTCTATGGCTTATTCTAGTATTTCTTATATGAGATTCTTGATTTCATCAGGCATACGAGAAGAAAGCCACTACTAAATGGCAGTATGACCTTGGTCGGAAGAAAAACTTTGAACAGGTTTGATTGTTTGTTCTGTCTTTTTTGTTTTTTTGTTTTTTTTTTTTTTTTTTTGTGGTTGCTGTGTAGTGTGTTTAATTTATATTCTAACCAATACTTTGAATTCTTAAATTGATTCTTTTGCTAGATTCTTTGCCTTTGCCTTTGCCTTACCAATACCATAAATTCTCTGTCTTTTATGTATGACCCTTCTAATTAATGTCAAACCATTAATCTTTGATCAGCTGTAACGTCTTATGTGCCTGAGAGTGAGATACACCACCTTATAACAGATATTACCTTATTACTGACATGCAATTCCATACGTTCCTTCTGTAATCAGTTCCAGCATGCACTCACTTGCATATTTTATTAAAAGCAACAGCATTTGCGGGAAAACTAACCAAACTTGTACAGCATTTTGGTAATGCAATATCTGAATCCGGCTTACGTCCATGAGGATGGCCTCCCCCACCCCCTTTTTGTAGGTGTTATTCTATGATCCTCAACAAAACGAAATTACCAGCTTGAAATTAGATCAATTTTGCAAATCCAACCCCCACAATTGACTTCAAAACCCCCATAGATGATCAGAACTGAAAGTTATACTTTGCCTGTAGAGGATAAACAGTGCTGATTTTTCCCCCAAGTTTGTGAAGAATATGTTTGAAAGTTGTACCAAAACCTAACTGAACTAGTTGTCTGATTTGCAGAAGTATACGCTGTTGTATGTAATGTTGAACTGAAAGTTATACTTTGCCTGTAGAGGATAAACCGTGCTGATTTTTCCCCCAAGTTTGTGAAGAATATGTTTGAAAGTTGTACCAAAACCTGACTGAACTAGTTGTCTGATTTGCAGAAGTATACGCTGTTGTATGTAATGTTGAACTGAAAGTTATACTTTGCCTGTAGAGGATAAACCGTGCTGATTTTTCCCCCAAGTTTGTGAAGAATATGTTTGAAAGTTGTACCAAAACCTAACTGAACTAGTTGTCTGATTTGCAGAAGTATACGCTGTTATATGTAATGTTGAATTTACCATTATTTTGTTAGGTGTTTGGGACGGATATGTGGTACTGGTTCATCCCTGCATATTCAGAGGAGGATTTAAGACGGATACCAGCTCTCCAGGGTATTGATTATCCAACAAGGCCCGAGTTGAATGCACTTCAACCATTATAAGTACTCATGGTAGCGAAGGGACAATGTTGCAGTTCTCTCCTCTTATGCACACGTATAAGGGAAGCTGAAATTTGTGTTTCTTTCGTACAAGGCTCTTTGCTCGTCAACACTTCATTGACCTGCATGCACAGGCAGCAGCTCAGATAATACTTTTGCTTGGGAGACATCATGGCTGGAAGTGAATTGAGGACTGGCTCAATTGGCGAATTTACGCACAGATTCTTTGGTCGATACATTTTATATAGTGATGTAATGTGTGATTTCCACGAGGAACGTGAGCATTTTTTCATACAACTTGTTCCGTTCCTAATGTTGTGTGCAGGCTTGTTGAATTGATCCTGTGAATTTCTCCACCTTGTACCAATTTCTCCTTAATCTCTTGGATTACAGAAAAGTGCAGCATCGAGATTGTCGTTTGAGTTGTGGATGAGATTTCAGATTTTACTGTTTCTTTATGTCTAATTGAAAAATGGCTCTGCTTCTGGGGGACCGGATGAGAGAGAGAGAGAGAGAGAGAGAGAGAGAGAGGAGAAGGAATGACTGAGTTGAATTTGCTTGCGCCATATAAGTCATTCTAACATTTATTTGACAGAATAGAATTAAGCATGATACTTCTTGAGAGAAAAAAAAAAAGAGTTTTATAGGTAAAGTAAGAGCAAGTACAAATTTCGGACGGACTGACGTAGATAAGCCTATTGTCAATAAAATGGGCACTCATTATGCTTCATATTATCAATTTACCCATACATGCTCCCTGTCCAATGATTACTTTGTATGCACATATGACACTGTCAAATCTATCAAATACCCAGGGAAACTATGGCGCCTCAAAGCACTTTTTAGCAAGGTATCTTCAAAGGTGGGAGAAATTTTTAGTTGTAACGGATGGTACACTACATGTTTTTATGCAACTGGTGGAAAATTTTAATTTTTAAGTTATTAACCTTTTAACACACATAACTCACAATTTAGATAAGGACAATGTAGTGTACCATCTCGTGTGATGGTCACACTGAAAAATCTCTCCAGAGGGAAACTCGTACCCACACATACCTCTTTTGTTATATAATTTTTTATAATTTTTATGGTTATTGGACTGAACAAATCAAATGAAAACAACATATTTATAAAATTCACACAAAAATATGTAAAAGAGAAAAAAAATGTGTGGTTATCATTTTGCCAAAAGTAAACCTACATACACAAATTTATAGAATTCACACTTTTAGTTGAAAGAAAGTCATTGATTTTTTATTTTTTATTTTTGTCTAATTGGATTATTAGTCCCCGTAGTGATAGGGTAATTGGAAGATAGCCTTTGTGGTAAAAAAAAATAAAAAAAAAAAAAAACTAGGATATAAGCCCTTATGGTGAAGTCTGTTAGGATTTATAGCGCAAAATTAAAAATTCCATCAACTTTCTGTTAATTGTTAGCATGTGAGCCACACATATTAGGCTAAAATGGAGTTCTCCATACACATATTAGGCTAAAATGAAATTCTTCGCTAATTGTTAGCACGTGGGGCTAACCCGCGTATTAATAATTAACAGAAAGTTGACGGAATTTTTAATTTTGGGCATAAATATTCCTAACAAACTTTACCACAAGGGCTTAAATTATAATTTTTTAAAGATTTTTGCTATATTTTAATTACTTTATCACCACGGAAACTATTAATTCAACTAAGCTATTTTTTTTAATTAAAAAACACGATATTTTAATAAATAAACTATAAGCGTGCAGGACGTCTGCATACTAAGCAATAAACTCGTAAGAAAAAACTTCAGAACATTTAATCAAGACCCAAAGTGAAGCTTGTACAACCAAATCTTGATATCATGAGTGATTTGGAGTGAATTATTCTGTATAATTAATGAGTATAATAAAAAGGAAAAAGTCACTTAGGTATTCCTCCTCACTTATTAGGTCTTACGTTAGATTATCGTCAAAAATAAATTTATTATTAGCCTATTATGAGGCTAAACTTATCACTTAACTTTTGGTACATCGTTTGTGTTAAAAAAAACAGAAAAAAAAAAAGAAAAAGGAAATGAAAAAGAAAGCAATGGGCCTGGGCCGCCTGGCCCAAAAGAACAAAAGGGATAACTTTTTGGGCGGATCACGCCATGGCCTAGCGACACGTAACAATGGCGGCAACACTTGTACGGTGACGTGTGGTGACAATACTAGAACCTTCCAGCACATCGATTGAATTCTCTGCGTCTCTCTCTTCCGCCATTGGAGTCGGTTGAGCTAGCGCATCAAAACACAATCAACAGAGAGGCACCTGGAAACCCCTTTCATCGAAGCATTTGCTACTAAGCCGATTAGGGTTTTCTGCGGTTCCGATTCAATTTCCTCCGATTTCTACTTCCTTTGCGACGAGGTACTCATTTCTTAACCTTTTTTTTTTTATTGCGGAAAGGCAACTCACATGAAAAAATAAAAAATAAAAATGATCATCCTCTATGATTTAATTGCGATCATTGCTTAGTTTGATGATCAGTGAATTAATACGTGATTTGGTGTAAATTGCGATCATTTTCCTGTTGAATTCTGACACGATTTAGGGCTTTACTTTTCGATTTGTATAGGAAAGAAGTTTCTAGATTTAGGGTTCATGTTGCTCGTAGGGAAATGCTTATAGCTTGCTTTACAAAATTATCTTGATTAATCAAATGAATTTCAAATTTTGGTGACACTGGATTGTGGAAAACACTTCATCCGCTGCATGTGTTAAAGTTAGGGGTTGCCCAATTTTTTTTTTTTCTTCAGGGATTATAGTAGCTAGAAAATGCAGAGAGGCAGAGGTGGACCAGGTGGGAGGGGTTCTTTCTCCGACTTCAATGACCCGTTTTCCGGTTTTGGGGGCTTTGGGGGATTAGGGGGTCAGAGGAGTTTGATTTCTGACTTTTTTGGAGGAAGGGATCCTTTTGATGACCCGTTCTTCACTCGCCCATTTGGAGGTATGTCCCCGTTTGGAGGTATGTCTCCATTTGGAGGTATGTCTCCTTTTGGAGGTATGCCCCCATTTGGAGGTATGTCTCCTTTTGGTCCCAGTGGTGCCAATTTTCCGGATATGCAGCCAAATGGGTTTATTGAGCATCAGGCTCCAGAGCCCAAGAGATCACGGGGCCCTATCATTGAGGAGATAAACTCTGATAATGAAGACGAAGATGCTAACAATGAGAAAAAGGAAAATCCTCGAAAGCGCAGTGGACCGAGCAATGAACCTTACGTTGAGGATCCTGATGATGAAGTTGAAGGTAGATTGTTTTATTTAGTTTATTGCTATTGGACCTTGGTAATTGTTGAATGTCTTTTTTGAGTCCAAAATATTTAGGGCTACCTTTTCCCCTTTGGTGCAGAGAGGAGCAGCAAGCAATTGCAGCATAGGGACAGCTACAGCCAGTCTAATTCTATGCAAGCGCAGCCTCAAGCTCACAGCTACACGTTTCAGAGCTCCACCGTCACTTGTGGTGGTGCTAATGGCACATATTATACATCCTCCAAGACAAGGAGGATGGGGAGTGATGGGGTAAGTAGTTGTGAAAGATTCATGGCGTTCCTTTTTTACCCTCGTAGTTCTTTTGCTCATTTCCGCTTTTTGTGTGGGTAGCTGGCTTTTGAAGAAAGCAAGGAAGCTGATAGTACTTCTAGGCAAGCAACTCACAGGGTATCAAGAGGGCTCCACAATAAGGTGTTGTATGATGACATGTGGATACTTATGCTGATGTCTCTTTTGCCTTTTCGATTCGAATCTTTGGTCATCAATTTCATGACGTCCAGTAGGACACTTACAGTGAGGATTCTTCTTTTAGGGCCATTCAGTTACGAGGAAGCTCAAAACAGATGGTAAGGTGGATACAATGCAGACCTTGCACAATCTTAATGAAGGTATGTGGACCTTATACACGATGCCGTGTTTGTGCAACAAGGTTCTTATGAAATTGTTTAAGTATAGAGAGACTAACTTGGAGTATCTGATTGGTTCAATACTAGATGAGCTTTCCGGGTTTGAAGATGCTTGGAAAGGAACTGCTAAGAAACATTTGCCTGGATTGGCTGATAAATTTGGTGGTTATGAAAATATAGGTGAGTTTATATTGTTTACTAATCTGAAATCATGCAATCAGCAATGGTCAAATATCATTTTTGCGTTTTGATGTTGGCCATATGTTCTGGGTACAAAACTGGAGAACATATTCAGCGTATGAATACTTGCTGATTTCTACTGCTTTACTTGATTAAGCTGTTTGTTTACTGAGTATACCACTAAGTGGATGAGAAAGAATTCCTGGATGAATTCCTGTAAAGTTCTTACAGCTTTTGTAGTGCCTGTTTGTATATTATTTTCTGTCCCTTTTCAAGAGGTTTTGAGAGTTGCTTGCTTTGTCTCGTTAGTTTGCGTTAGCAACCTGGAATATATTCAGGGATAACGAGTTGTAATTGTGCTAGTGCTACAGGTGCATACTAGTCCATGACCCTATTTGCATTTGTTGCTTGTCTGTTCCCTTTTTATGAGGGGAGCTATTGTATGATTTAGTTGAATGGAGGCCAAGGTTAAAAATGAAAAATTATGAACTCTTATTATTGTCACGAACCAACTGGGCCCCGACGTGTTTTTTTCATTTTAACCCTTTGTGGTTTTTTGTTTGTTTCTAGGAGCCGGCAGCAGCGGAAATGGGCAGGCCGGTCGGGAAGGTTGGGCGCTTCCATCCAATGAGCGTGTACAGAACCCCGGCAATATGATTCAAGATGCTAGAGACAAGGCAGGAGGATCTTCTCACTCAAACCAGTCTGGTAGTAGGATGAGAGCAGATGTTAAGGACAAGAGTGGCTATTCCCGTGGGAGAGGAAGAGCGTAGATTCGAGCTAGCACAATGAGAGCCTAATATGCCATCGGTCCCATTGGTCTCGCGCTTAACTGCATAATAGCGTAGTGTTTTGTTGCATATTGTGGTCATGGCCGAAGAACATCGGGTGTTGGTAGCGTGCATTTGTATACGGTTGAGTTTTAATTGATGCTATGTGAGATGGATATGGTTATGTAGTCTTAATCGAGTCTTATCTGATACCCTTGAATCTTTGATTAAGGTGGTTCCTTAGTTCATTGATAATGGAGAATAAACATTCACGAGTTCCTGCTTTTGGCAAATTAATTTTATTCTTCGTTTCGATGTGTATTTTGATGGATGGCAAATTAATTAACTGGATGATATTTAGGTGCTCACTAGTTAGTATGAAATTTGACGGGTGTATTAATCAAAATGGTCCTTCTGAATCGGTTAATTTGGTACCTAAAAATGAGTCCGTCTAATAAATTTGGCCCTTCCGTTGTCTTTCCGTTAAATTTTCTGGTAGCGTGTTACGTGGCACATGAGAGGGTGCTACATATCCAATTTTCGCCAAAGAATTTAAAAACGAAAACTAACAAAAGCAAGAATACAAATAAGGAACAATTACATAAAATGACATAATGGTGAGCATAGTAGCGCGACGAACACGGATTTCCAATAGCGAGCAGGGAAAAGCCTTTTTTGGGAGTCCAAGTGTGCCGCCCCTTATGCCATCTTCAACTGAAAAGTGGTCAAAGAGTTATGTTTAGCCTTATAGTTCTACAAGAAATTATTTTTTAATGAACAGTGCTAGACCATATTTTATATTATCTTCAACCAAGGTGGTCAAAGGCTCATAGGCTAAAACATAGCATGTTTGACTAAAAACCTATCTCCAACCAAAGGGGGCTATTTTTTAGCCCCTTCAATCATTTATTATTTTAATTGAATTAATATGGTTAATTGAATTAAACTACCATATTAAAATAAAGTTTTCGGACATATTTTGAGTGCTACTTGTCGCTAAATGAATAAGCCTCCGGATTTCTTATCTTTATATAATGAAAATGATGTGAAAAATTGGTGAAAAATTGAAATAAAATGAGGTAAGATAATATGGAATAGTGAAAAGGAGGTGAGAAATGGTGTAGGTGTCACATCCCGGCCCGGGCGGATCACTTCCCAAGCCCGCTCCACCACCGTGACACGATATTGTCCACTTTGGGCTTACCATTCCCTCACGGTTTTGTTTTTGGGAACTCAGGAGCAACTTCCCAGTGGGTCACCCATCATGAGATTGCTCTCGTGCGCTACTCACTTAACTTCGGAGTTCCCATGGAACCCGAAGCTAGTGAGCTCCCAAAAGGCCTCATGCTAGGTAAAGATGGGAATATACATTTAAGAATCACTTCCCTGGGCGATGTGAGATGTCACAATCCACCCCCCTTAGGGGCCCGACGTCCTCGTCGGCACACACGCGGCCAGGGTTAGGCTCTGATACCAATTGTCACATCCCGGCCCGGGGCGGATCACTTCCCTCGCCCAGGGAAGTGATTCTTAAATGAATATTCCCATCTCTACCTAGCACGAGGCCTTTTGGGAGCTCACTAGCTTCGGGTTCCATGGGAACTCCGAAGTTAAGCGAGTAGCGCGCGAGAGCAATCTCATGATGGGTGACCCACTGGGAAGTTGCTCGTGAGTTCCCAAAAACAAAACCGTGAGGGAATGGTAAGCCCAAAGCGGACAATATCGTGCTACGTGGTGGAGCGGGCCAGGGAAGTGATCCGCCCGGGCCGAGATGTGACAATTTGGTATCAGAGCCTAACCCTTGTTGTGGTGTGCCGACGAGGACGTCGGGCCCCTAAGGGGGGTGGATTGTAAGATCCCACATCACCCGGGGGAGTGATCCTTATATGTATATTCCAATCCCTACCTAGCACGAGGCCTTTTGGGAGCTCACTGGCTTCAGGTTCCGTAGGAACTCCGAAGTTAAGCGAGAAGGGGGCTAGAGCAATCCCATGATGGGTGACCCACTGGGAAGTTGCTCGTGAGTTCCCAAAAACAAAACCGTGAGGGAATGGTAAGCCCAAAGCGGACAATATCGTGCTACGGTGGTGGAGTGGGCCCGGGAAGTGATCCGCCCCGAGCTGGGATGTGACAGTAGGAATGACTTAGGTATTTATAGGAAAAAAAATTAGAATTTTTTTTAATAAAAAAATTTGTCTAAAAAATAAAATAAAATTCAAATCCAACAGTAATCTGACATTATAACGTCAACTAGTATGGGTTTGGGCTGGTGCAAACGGGCTGGTTAGCTGGCTCCTTTTGGCCAGCCCGCTGGCCTGGTGGATGAAATATGGCCTAGTAGGGTCCATAAGCCCTTTGACCTAACCCTCAATTAGAGACGGTTTTCGTGTCAAAACAAGTTATATTTTGGTCTATGGCCCTTTGGCCGGTTAGTTGGAGATGGCCTTACTGCCCAATTCATACATCCAAATTATAAGACTACATTTTGAGAGAGACCAATCTTTTTCTTTATCTCAGAAAGGGACACAATTTATCCATGTGACATGTGATGTCATAGTTGTTTTCCAATTGCTTTTGCATTTACAATTTCACTCCTCTATAATTAAAAAATGAGCCTTTATCTCCTTATTTGTACCGTTTCTTTCTTTCTCCTCCTTTTATCTCTCTCTTCCATCTCCTTCCCATTTGTCTCTCTTTCTCTCTCTCCCCTCCTCCTTCCTTGTCTTTCTCTCTCTCTCTCTCTCTCTCTCTCATTTTCTCTCTCTCCTCCTCCTTCGTTCTCCCCTCTCCTATTTCTTCTTCATACTTCTCTCTCTCTCTCTCTCTCTCTCTCTCTCTCTCTCTCTCTCCTCCATTTTTTCTTCATATTGTTTTCTAGATTTACGCGTGTTTTTTTCTTTCTCTAAGAACGATTGAGATTTTTTATTTTTAATTTTAGTATTTTTGAAGGGATTTAGTTTTGAGGTTTTTATTGATTTGGATGCACGGATTCTGAAATGATCTTGCAAAAGTGCAGGAATTTTGAAACTAATATTGTATAAATGATGGAATTTTGAAACTGACCTTACAAAAGTTCTAAAAAATTTGAAATTGATCTTGCATGACACACCCCGACCGGAGTCAAGGCATGCTGGCCGACACCTGAAGGTGATGTAACCAAAAAGGAAAGTGAAGCATAAAAGTATGGATAAATTTAAGCCAAAGCTAATATTTATTTAATCTAAAGTAGAGAGTGCGCAATAGTGGGAAGAATCCATAAAACATAAGTGTTCAGATTATAGATGACAGTACGACATAAATAGAGCAGTCGAATCTAGTTAAGGTACTTATTACACCACCGGAAATAAACTCCTACATTTATTCATGGAAATGTTAGAACTGCCAGAGATCCCTTGTACGCCATAGAGAATTCAGCTAACTAAGTCCTGGAGGGGCGAAAAACATAAGGGTGAGTGGGCAAAAACAAAGGTTTAGAAAAAAACACATTTGTTTTCTGAACATACTAACCCCTCGCCGTAAAACATGTATAATTTTCAAAAAATCATATTACATATAAGTATGAAATCAAATGTAAATCAACAATAATTCCATAAATACGCCAATCATAATATCTCAACTGTAGCATAAGAAAAATCAGGTGCTCATCAATCTATGCTAACACATGAGTTCATGCAAAGGGAATTTGACATGAATATGACTGGGTGTAATCATGTAAAGACTGGCGCTAGGCGCATCACATACGAGTCCTAGTTGCCTATTGCGTCCTAGGACATTACTGGCACCTACAATGGATCCAAGGTGAGCGTGCGGTGCGATGTGAACATACACATGAAGCCTGGCCTTGGCTCAGGCGAGTACAACACCAGTCAAGCATGCATGATGAACAAGTATAATGTATGTGAACATGCCATGACAATATATAAATCTCAACGTCATAGTAGCATTTTTAAAATTAAATAAATCATGGCATATCAACATAATATAAATCCAAAAATATTTATGCAAACTATAAAGCTTTATAATATATATATATATATATATATATATATATATCCTTGCTTGTCCACGTACCTCCTCAGGGTAATTCTCTCCTATTTGAGAAACAACTATACTAATTAATTAATTAGGACATACACTAAAAGGCTAGGAAAATTTCCCATAGTTTGCTCAAATGGAGGATTTAAATATATGAAAATATTCTACACGACGTCACGGACCCATACACGATAACCACTCATCGCCACGAGGCCGGATGCGCCACCAGCTCATGGCCACATGCGCACCCATGCGCAGGGCACGCGCCTGCATGCGCTGGTAGATTCCCAGGGAATATTCTGTCAGATTTGACGGAATATTCCATTAAGTCTAACAGCGTTACCTAACGGTGTCAGAATATTTTGTTAACTTTAACGAAATATTCTCCTTCTTCTCTGATTGTCCTCCGCCATCTAGTTCGCCGGGTTTCTGGAAAATTTTTGAAACTTCATATCTTTTTCATTTCTCAACCATTGTTTATGTACTTTATAAGGAAATGAAGCTTTTGAATAGTAGAACAGGTCTATACCCTTTGGAAGTCCAAAAAGGGGACGAAAATGGACTGAAATTAACTCAAAGCTCTCAGACCTATTTTCAACTCCTTGAAACCTCATGTTTCGACGTTGCCTTAGCTTCAAACTTGAACTAGAGACCTCGAGGAGTTGTGTGGATGCTTCCTAGTCTTCCAAAATCTTGTAACACGAACGGGAAGATCATCGAGGAACCTACACCCGAGTCAAAGCTCCGAGTTGGAAGCTTAAAACTCGTCCATTCTAATATTGGTTCATACAGATGGACTCTTGGTGATGAGAGGAATACGATGGTGGTAGTTTGAAGTTCGATCTGTGAGGTTTGATGATGATGATGTATGGTTATTGCATAGAGGAGAGAGCTACGGTATGAAAAGAGAGAAGAAGAAGAGAGAGAGAGAGAATGAGTCTGATTGGATAGAAAGAAAAGAGATGTCTGATTGGGTGAAAAAGTGTGGGAAATGAAATAATTGGTGGTGAGGTATGGGTCACGGGATAGGTTTTAAAATGTAAAGAAGCTTGTACAATTTGAAAGCACACAAAATCTAATGCACCTTATCAAAAATAGTATTTCTACCACTAAATTATTAGCACACACATTTACAATTCTACCGGTTGTTAACGCACTTTAACTAAACGTAACTTCTTTGTTACAAATCCGATTCGGGTCTAACTCGCGCTCACGCATTCGTAACAACGAGTAATATTTAATTACGATAATAGGAAAAATAAATTAAAAGCCGAATAACTACTTGCACGTCAGGTTCCACTTTGCCAATAAGGGCATAAACGTCATTTTACACATTCGTGAAGGAAATTACATGGAAAATTAGGGACGGGTCGTCACATTGCAAAAGTGCATGAATTTTGAAACTGATATTGCAGATATGCAAAAAATAATTTTTTAAGTTTTTATAGATGATGTCAGTTTATAGTTTTAGTTTTGTTAAGTAACAAGTCTATTGAGGACATGGCTGAAATTTTAAAAGTTTGGTTTGCTTGTTTTTGGGCTAGGTTTGTTGGGGTTTGGGCTTTTGCCTCTCATTAAAATAATTCAAAATTAATGGAGTTTTATGAAATGTATTTTGTAATTTTTTTTCTCTCCATAGGTAAAGCTCCCTAAAAATAAATAAAAAACAAAAAACAAACCAAGAAAAACATATCTTCTCCAAGGAATTATGGTGCTACACATGCACTCTCTCAATCTCTCTCCATAAGCTCATACGTCCACCTGAGTACCGAGTCTAGGTTTTCATCTTCGTCGTATGTCGAAAGACATCGTGAACGGCCACGCCATGCCAACAGCAACACCCAATGACTAAGCCAGTCAAAGCACCAACAAGCCACGCCCCAGCGCACAATATCTCTATATTTCTCCCTCACTGCTCTCTCTCTCTCTGATCTGGCGACGGCCCAGTCGGTGCTTTCACTTCCTAGACGGCCGAAGCTCAAATGCTCAAGTTCAATCCGTCGTCGATAAAGCTGAGCCCAATCTCCAAGCTGATGAATTTGAGATACCAAGCTTGTTACCTATCTGTTGTTTGGTCACAGGGAACATCTAAATGCCTTATGTGATACTCCAGTGTTTACCAAATGTTAGGGAGTCAAAAAGTTGTTTGGACTCACACGAATTTTGAAATACAATTCCAAAATTGAAAAAATTGAATTCCCTATATTTGGGTGGCACTCGAGAATCAGAATAGATTTTTCCTCCCCACTCTCACTTATTTCTAAAATTTCAAGATTGCACCTTGCTTTAGCACAACACCACCAACCGTTATGCAGTTTAATATTAAATTTAATAACGATAAAAATTAAATTTCATGTGTTTAATATTTGGTGAACAGAGGTATTTAACATTTTTTTTCTATTAATTAGTATATAAAATTTAACCAAAAAATTAGTGTATAAAATAATTATCTCCATTAAGGGCATTTTAGTAATATATTGATTTCTATTCCGATTCAGATGAATTAGTAAACAATTTTATGGAATCTATTCCAATCCTGTTCCAATTCCAGAAGGTTTTAATAAACAACTTCAAGATAAATTCAATTATGACACTTTTCCAATTCAACTCCTCATTAATTAATTCCTCACATTTTGATTACGAATTAGTAAATGAACCACTATTTGATTGTAATTGCTCATCGGCTTGATCCTCCTAGGTGGGAGATGAAGACGACGATTTTGTTTTATTTATTTAAAATCTTTTATTTCTTTTTTCTATTTAAGTTTTATTAGTTTTAGTTTTTAACCCTTTAAATTTTTTTTTTTATAGTGATTCTATGTGGGACCGTATTATTGGATATGAGGGACCCTCTAGCGTGTTACATCTGTACATTACAAATTTTATTTATTTATTTTTGTCAAAAGTACACTACAAAAAATTTAATGAAAAGACAAATGAGCGACTAAATTGATTTGTCAAACTCATTCTTAAGGATCAAATTGATTAATTGAAAATTTCAATGAACATTTTGGTTCATATGTCATCCGTTCAACTTTAGAAACCAATTGTGATAAAAACCATTATTTACTTTTTACTATTTTATGTAATTTTACTTTTTTTTATTAGTCGACAAAATCACGCCTATCAATTTTTATCACTTATTTTAGATCAATTTTGATTTTTTTTTTTTTTTGGTTTCATGGGCTTTTTAGCCCAATTATTTTTTGTGAATCACATAAAGATGCCAAATTTCAAACATAATATTCAAATTCAACAACTTATGTGGCATTTTAACATTTTCAAGATTTTGCTCTTCAATGATATGTAAAATTAAAGTATTATTTTATTAATAAACTATTATAATAAATATTTTAAAACAGAAGGATAATAATAAAATTAATAAAATGTATCTAATAATCAAATAAAAAAAGATTTGAAGCTGCGGTTGATTTTGACAAGATAGGTGAGGGCTGCCAATACATGTCATGCTGCATCAAATTTGGTTTTTCAATCAGAAAACATTGTTGCTATCTTTTTTTTATTTTTCGTATTTACTTGAGCATTTTGACATTTTCTTTAAAGATATCATAATAATAAAGATACGATTTCGACAATAAGTGCAGAGTTGTGTGAACCAGCCACTAAATTAATTGAGGAGAAGCTACTCCTCAATCACGAGGAGCCAAATCTTTCTCTGATAAAGAAAAAGGGAAACAAAAAAAGGTGACCAGAAAAAAAAAGAAAAGAATAAAACTGATAATTTAAAATTTAAACGGTTTTAGGGCTTTTCTCAAGCAGGGAAAATGGCGGTTCTGAGAACCACAACGAACATGATCCTCAGGCACATCTTCCGACCATCCTTGTCATTTCCTTCATCAATCCCTACGATTGTACTCCGCTCCTCCAATGGAGGAACCGGAATCGGAATCGGCCGTGTCCGTTGCGCCGGTTCGGACTCCGGCGGCAGCGGGAACAAGGTGTCGGCTCGGCTCTCGCAGGTCAACCAGCTCCTGCAAGCGGCCGAGGAGCGAGCTCTCTCCGCTGACAAACATCCCCCTCCTAAAATCACGCTAGGTCACTGCCGCTACTCCAATTATGTTTCTATTGATTACTGAATATTTCTGTCTGTTTCGGTGGATTTTCTACTTCTGGTTATCGAAAAACTTGTCTAATTGCTTAATTTGCAGCATAATATTATGATTATTATTTCGTAATTAACTTATTGCTTCGTGTAATTAGACAGAAAATGATAGAAATTAGTGTGAATTGATGGCTTTTTCATTCTCTATGTTGTGTTTAAAGTGGTAGAAATTATTTATTAATCGGACTAACGTCGAGGATTCTATCCATTCAACTTGCTATGAGAAATCTAATACTGCCAATTGATTTAATCATTCAATTATGTACTACTTACCATTCTATGAATTTGCATACGTTGCCCAGCGAACATGAATTATAGCAAGCAAGACTTACTTAACTAGAACAACTCTTGTTATCATTTGCAACGGCCGGGGGCGGTTGATTGCATGTTTTACCGCAATGTTTTAGTGTTTACGTTAAACATTCTTCTATTTGATCATTTCTTTTTTCTTTTCTTTTATGTATGTGTGAAGACCATGTAGCTGTTAGTTTTGCCAGAAGTGGAGGGCCTGGAGGGCAGAATGTTAACAAAGGTCTGTGAACGTCTTTGTTTTTGTCCATGGATTGGAGTTTTGTTTTGTTTTCTTTTGGTATTATCCAAGTGTTACTTTTGTTCTGCTATCAATTGCACAGTGAACACCAAGGTGGACATGCGATTCAATGTAGAAAAGGCGTATTGGCTAAGTGAATGGGTCAGGGAGAGGATTTTGCAAATGGTATGTGGCTGCGAATCCTAATTTCCACGACTTGTGTTCTTACTGTTAAGAAAAATAAGAACGTCTTTGTTAGACGGAGGGCAGTATTGATCATTATTATTCCAGTCACTGAAGTAAGATATGCTCAGAAGTCAGAACGCGTAAGAGTGGTGGATTTTACTTATATGCATGTAATACATAGGAGTAGGAGGGGTTTTAGATGAGGGAATCCTTGCATGAGAATTTTGAAATGGAAATGAGAAAGAGCTCATATGGTAGTCCCTGCATAATGCCTACCGATATCTCATTAATTTTACTGGACAGTTGTGTAACTTTAGAATATTTTGGTGTTCACAAACTCTTTTGACGTTGGCATGTTTACTCATATTGCACCCAATGATGCCTCAAAACGACAAACACTACATGAGCATGTTGAATGTGTGTGCTCTAGAATAGTAACCCAGCCTCAATAATTTTAATAAACCCATACTGTATGCATTATTGCCGAGCCTGATAGCGTAGGCTTGTAACTAAGAAGGGCATTAAAGCGATTGATGGATGATGGAGCCTTGGTCAAGTGAGGCATGGTGTTGGAAATTCTGTTCACCACTCTTGTGAAGTCACTTTAAAGCACGCCCTAAGCCCCTCGGGTTAGTAGGGCCGCCCCACCCTTACGAGTGGGGTAACAAACAAACAAACACAAAAATACTGTATGCGTTATATGTTGGTTGGTAGTCTCCTTTTTGTTGTGATTAGTTGACCAAACTTTCTTTCTATTGTCTATCTACAATTGTTCATTTTTCTGGTTATTAACAGGAGAAGAATCGGATCAACAAAGATGGGGAGCTTGTGATTTCTTCAACTAAGACTCGGACGCAAAAGTAAACTTCTTTTCTCTTCTCTACTCTACGTTATCAGTTCTGCTTATGTTTTTCCAACGAATTTGGTTTGGTGCAACCATTTGTCTTCAGGGGTAATATTGAAGATGCTCTGGAGAAATTTCAGGTACTAAAAATCAATGCGTATTATTTACGTTTTGTGGGATGATGCGTTATGACCAGTGCTTTGATGCAAATACATAAGATGATTCACTCAATTATGGGAAGTAAAATTGCCTAGATTTTGGCCATTCCCCAAACAGTTGTAATCAATTAGTGAAACAGGCAATTATTGATGCTGCTTCTTATGTCCCACCTCCTCCCTCGGAAGAGCAAAAGAAGAAGATAGCTAAAATGTGAGAGCTCGTTATCATATGTGTCTGCATATTTTTTACCCTTAGTTTTACTGCTGGCCTCTTCACAATACCCCTTGTACTCTGTAATTTCTTTGTGTTCTGAATTGTTTTGGCTCTGATATTGTTATTGTCCCTCTATTTTGTAGGGCTGCCATTGGGGAACAAAAACGGCTTAAGAGCAAGAAGGTTCTTTCGGACAAAAAAGCATTTAGAAGAAGCCGAGACAGTTGGGACTGAGTGTTATTATAGTTGAGAATTCTGTACGTGTTGGAAGTTGGCACGCTCTCTCCTCACTCGCAATCCGGTTGTTTGTCATTCATAAGCTGTGACTACTATGTCTTTCCTGGGTGCATCATGTTCGTATGGAAACAATTCAAGAGCAGACACCTCGGATTCAAGGGCAGACTCACTAAATGTTAGGGAATACGTTGTCCATGAGTAATGTTGAAAATACCAATTGCTGGGTATAATTAGTTCTACATGGCGTTTCAAATCTCTACTCTGTATATGAAATTCAACGTAGAAGGTCGGGTTTTCGCCTCTACCATAAACTGCTCGTTGCTTAGATTAAAGACGTGTTTCCGCAAACCCTCAGTTGCTTAAGATTTGCAGCGCGTTATTTCCGCAAAGGCTCGGATGTTTTCCGGCTGCCATATGAGAGCTGCCGGCAAATGCTTTGAGAGGGAAAAACAATATAAATTGAACTGAATGTCGGAAATTAATATATTCTGGAACACTATAGAATTTTCGTAAAAGATGATTGGGTCCAAGAGACAAACTTTGTACACAATTGGGTTCACAGAGACAAAACTACGTACATTTACAGATCAAAAAAAAAAAAATTATGGAATAAAGTTACAAAAAAATTACTATTTCCTGAGGAAAATTACTTTCTGATAACATGTTCTTCCCCGGATCGTTGATCAAAATGTTTAACCCATTTATTTTCTCCTTTTCCCGACTCCAAATTCCCTCCACAGCTGGACACGTGCGCCATATCCAGACCCTTCCCGACCGGCAAAAAAACCGACCGGACCACGCGCCGCGACCCACAATCCACCACGCTCCGCCACCGGAAGCTCGAAGCATTTCTCGAACTAGCGTTTTTGCACACAAGCACCGCCCCCCGATGGCTGAGCCGCGCCTGCCTTAAAACCCTTGCGAAGTCCTTCCGCTTCGAATCCACTACCAAAAAATCCACCCCCACGAGCCCAGCCATCACCTCCTCCGGCTCCCCCACAAGCACCTCCACCTCCATCCCTGCCTCCTTCGTCGCCGCGGCGTATTCTTCCCTCGACTGCTCGTCTGGCACCACGCACACGTGCCTCCCGCGCGTGTGGCGGCTGGCGATTTCAAGCCCAATGCTGGTGGCGATCACCCCTCCCGAAGACCACGTCTCGACGATGAACTCCGCGTTCCAGCCGGCCGCCATGGCCGAAACAAGCTCCGCCACGCCGGATTCTTGAAAAACCTCGCACTGCGAACAAAACGCCCATCACGAAATTAATTAATTCGCCAAAATGAATGATTAATAAGGCATCAAAAATTGATTAAAGCAAGAAACTTTTGATTCTTCGAACAAAACCCACATCGCAAAATCAATAAAACCGATCGAATTAATCATTAAAATAACAAAAGACCATGAAATTCAATCAAAAAGGAACTTATGGGTTTTGAGGAATGAAAGAATTGCTTACGGATCGGACGGTGTCGATGTAGGCCTTCGTTGCAGTATCAGGGGACCAAATCAGCTTCATTTTCTCTGTCAATTTCCTCTTCTGATTCTTCTTCTTTGCTTTTAATTCTTGCACAAATGGATCAAATGAATTTTTTTTTTCCTTCTAAATTTCTAAATTTTGGAAGAGGTGGGTGCTTTTCTTTGATGGAAAGCTAATAAAATTCTGGGTTCGAGAAACAGTGTGTCCAAGTTTGGGGTTTATATGCGAGAGAAGGACAGAGGTCCAACAAAGGCTTCTCGAGGACCGTTGACATTGCGCCCTGCCGCGCATGACCAACGTGTTCGGTTGCTATTAGTTTCAAGATCCGTCTAGCTTTTTATTTATTTATTTAATTTGTGCACACCAACCTGGTCTTCGGTGTGTTTTCTATTTAGGTAAAATGTACGGGTTGGATAGTTTGTATTTGTGTTCCAATTTTGTCACATAACCCAATTTTTCTACCTCAATTCCTCCTAATATTGTGCATTTGAGTAAATATTACACTTGGTCAAAATCAAATCAATTCCCAAAGTTTGGACTTTGAATAAAAGTGTCGATTAGTAGTTGTTCATATCCGTGTCTGATCTTATCTATGTTTATTTTTAGCACGTAAGATATTATACCTTATCCGCGTTTATTTTTAGCTAGACATCGTTAACGATGTTGTAGTGTAACTAAATTCGTTGTATTTGTCTTATCCGAAATAAGAAATAGATGAAAACCTAATGCTACAATGTATCTAGCAATCGTTGAATTTGTGAGTGAAAATGATGGGTGCGATTGGTTTTATATGGATTGAAAACAGAAGAACTCTATGCTTGTACGGCATTGAAATGGTGTTCTTGTGTCAAATTTCAAATACCATGAGAATATAATATGTATGATTAGATGTTGAACCATGAATTTACATTTATTTTTAATTTCAAGGAGTTGCTAAACCTCAAATTTTAAAACATTTGACCCCAAAATAAAAAGGAAAATATACAACAAGTTGCCTCAGCCGTGATGATAAATACTCAGCGTCACTTACAAATTAGAAAATTTAAAAACAAAACAAGGTGCACAGATTATCGTTAATCAGGGTTAGTGGTTTTATTAAGTCTATGCATGGCAGCCAAAGTCAAATATGAGAGAAAGAGAGAGAGAGGGGACGGCGTCCCTAAACCGGAGGGTAAGTACGTGGGAAGCACAAAAAAGCCAATGTCAACGTCCTCCACCTGCCTTTGACGTCAAATCTCTATCGCTTCACGCTGATTGGGCGGTGGTTGCCACGTCATACACCTGTGGACCAGTTTTAGGGCTCATCTTTCTAGGCTATCTGCAATGAACGTAAAAAGTGAAGTTTAATGTTAATTTTTGTGTGATATCCACACATCCCATTTTACTTTTCACACATATTTTTAATTTTTAGTCTTCAGATCGGATGAATTGAAAAATATCAACGAACAAAATTTATTAAGAGATGTATGAGAAATAAAATAAGGTGTGTGGATAGCACTTCTCTAAATTTTCGAATTTTTACTTCAAATTCGGCCCAATTTCTTTTCAAAGCATAAAAAAATAAAGTAAAAAGTTGGTGTCATATATGTCTCACGAGTTAAGTGCGAAGTTAGATATGATTATGCATTTGGCTACAAACGTTATATTTGACTCTTAGTTAATGTGCATCGAGGTTAGTATAAAACTTAGAGCTAAATTTGACTCCATAATTGACTTCAGAATTTGAACTTTTAACTATTAAATCAGAGATTCCTCACACTAAAACAAATCAACAACTAAAAGCTAATTACACATCTATTGGGGGCCCTAACATTTTTCTTTGACATGTAATATATATATTATATCAAAGAAAAGTATAAATGCTTTTTTTACATGAACTGTTATGAACTTTACAGTACAAATACATGTATAAGAAGATAATATTGGACTTGCTACTTATTACTACAGTTTATGGGTATAATTTCTTTTTATTTGTAAATGTGAAATTTTAAGTTTGAATTATGTAGACGGAATCCATGTTGGTGGTTGGTCCAACCATAGGTATATCAGTGCAAAAATATATGTTTTAATTGTGCAATGGAACCGTACTGAAATTTATATATTGATGCGAAAAGTCTCCAAAGATTGTTTGAAGTTTCACAAAGGATAATCGTGGTTACGGATAGGCTGAATTTTCCAACTAGCCTCCTCTAAGCCTGGAAGAAGTGAATAACCGTGATTCGCCACCAGTTGTCCCCCTTTTTCAACAAAAAAAAACAAAAAAAAGTAATTAATTTTACCTATTCAACTCATTTGTTTTCAAACATGGTGTCTGGTTTCTCTCTCCGTGCATATTTCTCTGGCAAGAATAATTCTCTGATATCAAATCGTTTGAACCAACATAAAGGTGAAGCCGGAGAATTGGATTCAAGGCCACACTTCTAGATGTTGTTTGAACCAAAAAGGGGACTCTTGAAAGTTTGAAACTACTTTTGTGGGCGTATATAGAAGCATTCTTTGCAAACCTAATTTATTTGTCATTATACAAGTGGCTCTTTATTACAATGGTTGAAAAGTGTTGAGCCCTTACATAACGGTGTGAGTTCAAATTTCGTCAGTGGTTAATCTAACAAAATCTATTGTTTGACAAAAAAAAAAAAAAAAAAAAATATTTGTCTTTATCTTCTCTAGTAATTCTCTCCAGATTTGTTTAAATAGCATTCTACATTTCTTTTAATACCGTCTACAGAGTTTGAACCTAAAACTTCAAACTTACAAATAAAAAAGAAATGCACCCATAAGCTATAGTAATAAGAAGCAAGCATCCAAAATTATCTTCATATATAAGCATTTGTACTGTAAAAGCATCTTCACCTTTTGGTGGAGAGCAAGGTGTTAATAATTTTTTTTTAATACAACGATATATTTTACACTACGGGAAGGAAGTTCGGTTAAGCTACACAATGAACAACTTAATTTAGTATCGAATTCGTCATTCATGAGATTCGAACCTAAAACCTCTCACTCATAAGTAAAAGGAATTCCACCGTTTAGAAGGAGTAAAGGCAAGGTACATGCAATTAATATTCACAAATATATATTTTAATTTTTTTGGTGTTTTCTTCGAACTGCCCTCTCATTTTCCACCGGTGGTGGTGGAGCAACTTTCTGTGGGCATATATGCAAATTTTACCCAATTGCAAGGATAATTAAGGATGGATGGAGCGCTCTAAAGTTGATGGCAGTTTATTTCGATATAATATTATGATTAATGGAAAGTCGGTTGCCACCCATTAACAATAATTAGGTAAACTTTCCTCCAAATTTATGAATAAACAATTATTAGATGACCAACATGGATTAGCATATATTGATTTGATGCCACTCTTTTACTTGCACCACAAACAATCCAATGCAAAGATTCCTCTAAGCACCCAAATAAATAAAAATGAAACGTTGTTTAAGGAAGTCAATTCATGAATATGATCTCTATTTTTTAATTAAAAATAAAAATACCTCCTATATATATATATATTTTAGAACAAACGATAGTACACTAAGGCGCGTTTGTTGCTGGATTAAGTCTCACTGGACTGGACTAACTGCTAGGCTTAGTATCTAGATGTTTTGGTTAATAGGATTGTGTTTATGGGAAAAAGCGGACTCTTGCGCTAAATCCTGCGTAGTGGCTTAGCGAGGCCCCAAAACGAGGGGATTGTAGTCCCGTTTCTTTTCTTGCGGCCCTCCCTTCTGTTCTTCACCAGGCTTCCCGCGTGTTGCTGCTCGCTTCTCTCCTCCCCCTTTCACTTTTCTCAATCTCAGAGGATCTCCAAGTTTGCAATATTGGGTTTGACAGAAACGGATCCAAGAAATCCAAGCCATCACCGTCTCTCACTTCCTTGACTCCACAAACCCCGACTCATCGCCGGTCAACTCGCCAGGCATCACTGTAGGCCGGTTCCGCCACTCTACAGACTTGCGGCTCTAATTGAATCCACAGACTTGGAAAGCTCTCTCCAGTTCGAATCTTGCATCGAACAAAAACCTGAAAAATAGAGGAGGGAAGGAGAGCGTGGGACGGAGAGAAAACCTTGGGACGGAGAGAATGAGAGCGTGGGATAGAGAGAACAAAGGAGATAGAGAGGAAGAAAAAGATGCAGGCTTCCCGAGAGAAAGAGAGTATTATTAGAATAAAAAAAGCTAGAATTAATTAATATAATATTATTAGATATGAATTAAAAAATATAATATTATAATTTGTTATTATCCTTCTTTTTAGTCCGACACTGCACCAAACGCTTCACTAAGCTAGTCCAGTTTAGTCTAGTCTAAGCCAGTCCAGCTTAGTCCCTGCAGCTAATCCAGTCCGAGACAGTCCGGTACAACAAACGCCCCCTAAGGGGGCGTTTGTTTGCCCTCACTAAGTCGGACTGGACTGGACTGGACTAGCTATTAGTCCAATACTGTGTTTGTTCCATGCTGGGACTAACATTAATGAGACTAAAGGGGACTAGCATGGATAAAACCCTTCACTAAGAGGTCTTAGTGAGACCCCCCAATAACTATGGGACTAGCTAAGACTATCCTCTATTTCTCGTCCTTGTCATCCTCAACGACCACTCCCGACAGACTCCTCGTCATCTCCAGTCACCTAGATCAATCATTAACTTTCCGACTTTCTTTCAGATTCATTTCACAACCAACTTTCATATAAAATATACCAAATTAAAGCTGGGAGTGACAAGATTACGATTTTACTTGAATTGAGGCCAAAATGTGGTCGAATGTGGCCGGAAAATGGCCTGTAAGTCTCGGCCTGTTTGGGCTTCTTCAAATCCATGACAAATTCGAGCATGCAAAGCTAAGATCTCGGTCCAAGGATGGTCAAAAAACACATCGGGAAACCTGCAACTCGTCGGGAAAATTGGAGCCGTGAGGTTCCGTTTGAACAACGCATAGCTAGAGAGGGAGGGAGGACAGAGAAATAGAGACTGGAATCAATAAGGAGTTTGACCAGGAATGAGAAAGAGACATGAATTGAGAGGTATGAGAGGAAAAAAAGAGGGAGATGGTGGGACGATGAGAGAAGAGGAAAAAAGTGGGACGGAAATGGTAAGAAAAGATGGAGAAAAAGATAAGATCATAATAAAATATTAATAATTTATATATTAAATAAAATAATATTAGAATTTGTTATTATCCAGCTTCTTAGTCCAATATTGCACCAAACGCTTCACTAAG